CTGTTGATGATTTACCTTTACAGCAAATGCTCAAACTGTTTTCCTTCAGCCGCAATACACGCTCGACATCTTCTTAAAAAAGATCGGGTTATTAAACGAGCGAATCCAAGGTTATTAACAAACTCAGCTGCTTCCAATAGTCTTTGCCGTAGCTCAGCTACATTTTGAATCGGCTTGAAATACACTTTTTCTTTTACAGTTCCCCAGTAAAAAAATCTAAAGGATTCAAATCAGGTGATCGGGCTGGCCACGGTATTGTACCAGACCCCCTATCCATCTGCCTGGAAAGTTTTGATCGAGATACTCTCTCACTGAGAGTGCATAGTGCGCTGGGCAGCCATCATGCTGAAACCACATGTCCCTGTAAATACTCAGTGGCACGTCCACCAATAAATTTTGTACATGATTTTTCAAAAAATCCAAATAAACTTCAGCAGTCAAAGTCTCTGGGAACTCAAACGGACCGATTATTTTACCATTTAAAATTCCTGTCCAATGCTTTATCTTGAAGAGATATTGAGATTTAGAGATTTATCTTCTCTCATCAAATGTGGGTTTGCTACGTGCCACTCGTGTAAGTTATGTAGGTTCATGTACCCATCTTTCTTAAATGTGGTCTTATCCGACCATAACATTTTTTCAAAGAACTGTGGATCTTTCCTGTGTCTTTCTAACATTGTGCGACAAAAAGCAACTCGGGGCTCATAATCCCGGGGCAGGAGAGGTTGAACACGCTGTATGTGGTATGGATGAAGCACATCACTTACTTGCCATTGCACACTTTGATACCGATCAGTACTCCTTCGTTTACTGCGCATCTTTACATGTTCGTGCTTGTTGATTTCGTACTGGTACTAATTTTGGATTCGTGAACTGGTCTGTTGATCGCTTGTGATTTGGATTTGGACTGTTTAATTGCTCTTCAAAACAACATTTGCTTTCCTTAGACTATCTTTAATAGTGTGATTGTGCAGTGCCGCTATGTCCGTGTACACCGTACAAGAATATGCTAACATGCACATCATTTATGTGGAATGCAGATGCAACGCTAGTGCTGCAGCGAGACTTTACTGTGAGAGGTACCCGAATGCAGCTCGTCATCCAGATCATCGAGTGTTCACAAATGTGCACCGCTTACTGTTCTCAGAGGGCCAACTACCAAACCAATCACACGGTGAGGGAAGATCTTTCCTTCCTTACGAAGACGTGGTGTTATGAGCTGTCGAAGAAGACCCGAGTACTTCAGTGCGTGCAATAGAACTAAAAACAGGGGTGCCCAAAAGTACAGCCCATAGAATCTTGCAAAAAACGTGCTCCATCCATACCACGTACAGCGTGTTCAAGCTCTTCTGGCCCGGGATTATGAGCCCCGAGTTGCTTTTTGTCGCACAATGTTAGAAAGACACAGGGAAGATCCACGGTTCTTTGAAAAAATAATATGGTCAGATGAGACCACATTTAAGAAAGATGGTACATGAACCTGCATAACTTACACGAGTGGCACGTAGCAAACCCACATTTGATGAGAGAAGATAAATCTCAATATCGCTTCAAGATAAACCATTGGACAGGAATTTTAAATGGTAAAATAATCGGTCCGTTTGAGTTCCCAGAGACTTTGACTGCTGAGGTTTATTTAGATTATTTGCAAAATCATTTAGAAAATTTATTGGAGGACGTGCCACTAAGTATTTACAGGGACATGTGGTTTCAACATGATGGCTGCTTTCCAGGCAGATGGATAGGGCGGTCTGGTACAATACCGTGGCCAGCCCGGTCACCAGATTTGAATCCGTTAGATTTTTTTTACTGGGGAACTGTAAAAGAAAAAGTGTATTTCAAGCCGATTCAAAATGTAGCTGAGCTACGGCAAAGACTATTGGAGGCAGCTGAGTTTGTTAATAACCGTGGATTCGCTCGTTTAATAACCCGATCTTTTTTAAGAAAATGTCGAGCATGTATTGCGGCTGAAGGAAAACAGTTTGAGCATTTGCTATAAAGGTAAATCATCGTTAGCAGCATTTTGACGCCCAATGTTGTGCAGACCTTAAGGGTCCTTGTGCGTTTTCATAATCGCTGTTTAATTAGGAAATTTTGAAAAATTTTCATCAGTTTTTCTTCAAATAAAAATTGTGCATAAGTTAACGAGTAATCTGATAAGTGTTATACCATTTTGGAATCTTTATTAAATGCGCCAACTTTTAAGGTTACTTGCCAAACTCTCGTAGTTCTTTTTTTTTTCAGTACAGCCAGTTAAAGTTGAGCAAAGTTTTACTTTGGAATGCTTGGTTGGGAAATAAGTGGCAATTTTTCCTGAACGAGAAAAGTTGGCAGTAAGGTTGAGACACCAGTTTGAAGATGCATTATTCATCATTACATTGTAAAAATAAAAACCAAAAAAGTTAGTATTTGTAGTAACAGGAGTTGACAGACTGCCGTAGGGTGTGAAATTTCTATATTTTCTTCAAAGACCTATAATTTTCAAAACACATACATAAAATTTTTTTAAATATTTTTCTGATAGCTGTTATGACTTTGCCTATCACCCGGTTTCGGCTTGACGTCGACTTCTGTATATATATATGCGGAGTTTTTTACGACTACTGCCGTTTCCATCCAGTCTCCCTTTTGGAGTCCTCTGGATATCATGGACTCTTCAACATCTTGCTTCCAACTTCTTACGATGCTCTGGTGGTACCCACTCATAGACTTTTTTGGCCATCTTGTGTTATACATACGTTGAAGGTGACCATAGCAAAGTTTGTTTCAATCGTTTCTAAAATGTTGTGGTCTACTTTCATAGTTTGTCTAATTCTTTCATTCCTAACATGCTCTAGTCTGGAAATTCTGCAACTTCTTCTCCAGTAATCCATTTCCAAGGACATCAACCTCTCTTCATTTATTTTCGACATCTCCCATATTTCTGAGCCATAGATACTTTCTACTACAGCTTTGAATATCAATTTCTTTGTTTTGGTTGTCACTCTAGTACTCCATAGAATAGAATTTAGTTGCCTAATTGCTCTTATCCCTGTGCTATTTTATATGAAATGTCGGAGTTGCTCTTGCCATTCACCGTAAACGTTAGACCCACATATTTGAATGATGTTGTGTTTTGTATGCTATGATTTCCAACATCTAAATCGTCTCTATTCCTGTCACCTGCAATCATATACTTTTTTTTACATTAATTTCCAATCCCCATTTCACGAGTCATCTCTATAACCTGCTATCAAAACCTGGTCGTCAGCGAATAAAAGGGTATATAGGACATCTTCTCCCACTGATATTCCCAAATGGCAACATTTCCTCTTCCAATTTACTAAAACTGCTCCAATATATATCTTGAAAAGTGTCGGCGCAAGTGAGCACCTATGTCGTAATCCTTTGTTACTGGAAATTCCTCTGAGAATTGTCTGTCGCTTTTAAGCATGCTGGTACAACCACAATACAGAAAGTGAGGGTGCTCGAAAAAAGCTTTGAATACAAAAGTTTTAGGAAATCATATGGCATCTAGTGGTGACTTTGGATTTGACGTTGACATTCACCTGACCTGGGCTCTGACGAAGGTCAATTCAAATTGATTTTTCCACATGGAAACCCTCAATTTTGATCCCAACGCTGATAATGGTATTTTGGGATATCCAAAATTCCCCTTTAAAATCAGGCCAGACATTAGCCTGTCTCGCCTTCACTACCCGGACACCGGACCTCATCCTGTCTTGCCTTTACTGGCCGGAAATAGTCTTGCCTCAATATCTTGAAGAATCAGTCCAAGATCTATTTTTCACTTTCAAAAATCATCGGTCGATTCAGTCTGATCCACGAGATTAGGTCATTTGACCTTAAAATATCCTCTAGGTTAAACAAACCATGAACATGAAATTCTTCTTGATTTTCAGCGCTGAGATCAAAATTGAGGATTTCCATGTAAAAAATCAATTTGATGTTCCATTGACCTTCTAAGTCAAGGTTTAGTCAAGCGGTGGTTCGCGAACCTCTAGGGGTTCGCGAGCTATATGAAGGGGGTTCGCGAAAGAATTATGGTAATGGCGGAATTTGTCCTCAATATTGCAACACCGCCGCTACAACAATCCGGCAAGAGTTCTACTTCGGCGAATCAAGCGCATCGAGACCTTTCTGAGAATGCACTGGAAAGAACGAGAATAACGTCTGCAGACATAAAAAGGTCGCAGTCACGGAGGTACGGTCGAATATAATAATATTCTGTAAATTTAAGATGGATAGTTGGTTAAAAACGGACAGTTTTGTAAACTCTGACGAAAAGTCAGATCAGCAATCACCTAATGCCCTTATCAACAGTGTCACGGAGAATTAACGATTTGGCGAACAGTTTTGAAAGTGAACTTTCAAAAAGAATAAAATTGAATTATTTTGCTACTCAGCTTTACGAGTCGACCGATGCGATGTAGCAAACTGTGCAATATTGATCGTGTATGTTAGTATTATTAAGAATTCCATTCAAGATGTGTTATTTGCAAAACCACTGGAAACTTGTACGACTGGTGCAGCACTTTTTAATCTGATCAATGACTATTTTGAAAAACATGAAATGAATTGGACATTTTGATTAGGTGTATGCACATATTGTGCAAAATCAATGACTGGAACATATTCTAGTCTTCTGGCACGAATGAAGAAGATCAACAAGAACATAAATAGGACTCACTGCTGTATTCATAGGCAAGCATTGGCAAGTAAGCGTATTCCTGTAGAGTTAGCCAGTACTCTAAGCGAAGCTGTAAAAGTTGTAAATTTTATAAAGTGCCGTGCTACAAATTCTCATCTATTCCGTGAACTTTGTGAGGACTTGGGAAGTCTTCACGTCTCTTTATTACTTCATATAGAAGTGGCTTTCTCGTGGCAAAGTTTTGAACCGATTGTTTGAATTGCAGTCTGAAGTTCAGGCATTTTTCCTTGACCATTCATTTCACTTGTCCGCTTCTGTACCCGACATTCTGTGGCTCCAAAAATTGCATACTTAGCCGACATTTTTTCTAAATTAAATGAACTAAATATGTCTTTACAAGGTCCAGGAATCATCATTTTCAATGTTCATGATAGAATAGAAGCCATGCTAAAGAAGTTCATCTTTTGGAATCGATGCTTGCAGATGAATGAGTACGATTGTTTTGGTTTCCTCAGCAGCCTTTTATCAGAGAATAAAATTCAACTTAACGAAAGCATTAAAAGAGATATTACTGAACATCTCAAACAGCTTCAATTAACGTTCAACGAGTATTTTCCTAATAAACCTGCATCAAACAACTGAATACGCAATCAAAGGAGATATAATTTCTAACACTTCTTTATCTTTATTGGAAAAAGAAAAGCTCATTGATTTATCATCTGACAATTATCTAAAAGATGTTTTTGCAGATCATTCTTTAATAGACTTCTGGCTCAATGTAAAAAATAACCCTATCTTATAAAAAAGCCATGAAAATTTTGTTACTGTTCTGCACAACGTATCTGTGCGAGAAAGGATTTTCAGGATAAGGATAAGTTCAGAAATAGATTAAATGCAGAACCCGATCTAAGACTAAGCTTTCAGACATTGAACCAAATTTTTAATTTCTTCGTTCCAACAAACAGGCACAAATATCCCGTTGAGGATTTTTGAAAGTATCGGATTACTTGTATTCATATTATATTAATCCTTTTTTCTAATGCTTAGTTAGTTTTAATAACGTTTCTGTAAATGTTTTACGTAACAGCTATGTTTTAATTTACTTTGCTCATTATAACTTATTCATATGATTAATAAATTTTGATAACAGCCAAATAGTACTGTTGTATTTACTCTCACTAACGACTGATCAAGGGGTTCGCCGATATAGGTATTCCAATTTTTATAAGTAGTTTGCAGAAAGAAAAAGGTTGGGAACCGCTGTTCTAGATCATAGCCAAAGTCAAAATGAAGGTCACCATCAGATGTGCCGTTGGTTGTCCTGTAATTTTCGCATTAAAGGTTCTTCTTTAATATTCGTGTTTTCCAGTTATACCCTGCTTCACAAGATTTCATGAAAGTGTAACAGTTGACTTTGAAATAACCTCTAGATGTAATTTTAGCCCCTATGATGTGCATTTAAAATGATTTTTTTTGGCTTTCTATCGTTCTATCGTTTCCTATTTGAAAATATCAACTTACCCTTGAAATGGACTTCAAGGTGAATGTCAACGTCAAATCCAAGAGTGAGCCATTTAATTTCCTGAAACATTTGTCCCAGATATTCGGGTATGTCCATATTTTTGGGACAACCTGTATGTTTTAGCATGACTTCTGGTCTTAATATTTTTCGATTGAGTAATCCGCAACCTTTGCATGTTGACAAACGATCACTATGTATCAGCTGTTCCAAATATACACTTGGTAACCTTTACAGTGCCTCACGTACAGCGCATAAAGGAAAAATATATAGACACGACGACGAAAAGAAAACTTGAGTGCTAGCGTGTGCTTCATAGTTCGTGGAAAACGCAAACACGACCGAATCGCTGCTAAATATAGAGCTAACTTTCTGTAAACTCGCTTGGTTTATGCTCCTCTAGTATTCATTACTACATGTTTTAATGGAAACCGATCGTTATTTAAAGTTTACCGCTCTTCTATTTATATCTTGAATTGAACGTTTGTCGAAAGCTGAACGATTAGGGCGCAGTGGGTTGGTACTATTTAAGCAAATGTAAAGCATCGAAATCTTTAATTTAGAAATTCATAGTTCATTTTTCAATAGGCTGTAAGGTCAAGGCCGTACCCAGCTCAAAACGGAAGGAGGAGTACCTTAAACAAATTTTTTTGGCGGAAGTTCCACAAATCATATCTACATGCTTGGTATCTTTCTTTATATTTGCATTCCATTTATATACAGTTTCTTACAACTATTTGACAATCCAAACGGGTATAGAAAACTACTAGGATTGCTTTTTTGAAACATTCGAGCAAACATAGCGCGATATATGTACGTTTTTAAGTAATAATTTAGTCGTTTGTAATACTTGAAAGCAACACCTGGAATAGTATATGGCATACAGCGAAAAAAACTTAGAGAATATGTAGAAGGATGTTGTACCTAGTTTCTTCTAAAATGTAAAATCTCCGAAACGATAAAAGGTACGACGTGTCGATTGAATGGTGGCAAAGTTGCATACTTGTATATTTTAGACAATGTATTTGAAAAATGTTGACGCAATATCTCCAAAGATACATGGAAAAGGGAACGACTTTCCCAAAAATCGTTTCTATTTTTTTCTGAACTTATATGAGATAGGATTTCAAAATTAAAGTGCAGATTGATATTACCAGTTTTTGATCTCTGCAAAAACATAAATAGAACATTAATATGATTTTTGGTATCTTATCTCCCGTCTCAACTTTGATTTTTCTTGAATTGAAATTATCTAATAGTAGTTTATTTTAGATTTCAAAAATGATAACATGTTACGCATTGATATAAAACTTAAAGTGACTATAATTGCTTTAAGCTCACGAATAAGGAACAACATAATGTGACTCATTTATATTATTTAAGTGTAATAATAAAGACATTGAAAACGGAATAATTTAAAAAAACTGAGAGCTGAATTGTCAAATCGAAGTTCTAATTATGCTACCGTGTAGAAAAGAAAAAGATGTAATGTTATTGTGTATTTGTTTGAAATTTGTAGACAATGTGGATGTTTTAAAGTTTTGTTTCGAACTAAAGCCAAGCATTATCAAGTACAATGACGACATTGTCGTCAAGCTTTGGGAGCGTTTCTACAAACCGTCATTCAAACGAACTCCCTTCCATTTCTTCATGGTAGTCAGTCGTTTTCTTTGACTCAAATTCCCATAGGGCAGTGGGCACAAAGCTATCTTCACAGCCAATGTGACAGATAGCAAATCGTTTTCCTTTTCATGGAAATAATTAAAATAAAATGCTCAGACCCGTCGATTTTGTTTTCGAGGGGGACACAAGTTTGGCAAAAAATCACGTTAGCACGTGCATCCCCCTAAGCGGGGGTGACACCACCCCCAAAATCTTAAACGGAAAGGGGGGTCGAGTGATACCTTATTTTAAAGGTCTTTCAATTCCCTTTATAACGATATAAAATTAATGTACTTCAGTTCAGTAGTTTTGAAGATTTATTGATTTAAAGCTTAAATAAAACTAATACATCATCATTAGTTGAGATCAATACATTTGGCAGCAAAGTAATTTAAAAATGAAGAATGAACTGACCCGTTAGGCTCAAAACGTTGCCGCACATTTTGCAATATTTGAGGAGTAATTTGAAGGCACTCATTCACAATTCTTTGTCGCAGGTCTTCTAATGATTGGCTGAGTAGCATAGATTTTGCTTTTTAAATGAACCCTCATAAAGAAATCCAAAGGTGATAAATCTTGCGATCTTGGGGGCCATTCAATGGCACCTCTTCTACCAATCCATCGATCTGGAAACGTCTCATCTAAATATTGTCGAACACGTAATGCGTAATGTGGTGGGGCACCATCCTGTTGGAACATCAACCTATTCGCAATGTACCGCCGATCATTCTGATTTTCAATTATAGCTGTTGATGCAGGATCTATGGCGTCTTCCAGTAATTCCAAATACATTTCACCGGTCAAATTTAAAGGTAAGAAAAATGGACCAAATAAATGATCGCCAAAAATACCAGCCCAAACATTTAATTTTTGTGGCTGCTGTGTATGAACCTCATGATAAATTCTGGAATTAGAATCGGACCAATATTGGCAGTTACGACGATTTACTACGCCATTTAAGAAAAAGGAACATTCGTCGGAAAAGCAAGTGTTGAATAGAAAATGTTCATCGTTTATAATTCGTTCACTCATATCTTCACAAAATTGTAATCGCCGATCAAAATCGTCTTCATTAAGTTCTTGTACCAGGTGAATTTTATACGGATGAAAACTATGGGCCTTTAGAATCCGTCGTACGTCGACTAACACCACACAGTCTCCAATTTGCGGGTACTTAACGTAGGATCTACATAAACTTGCCCTAAAACCCTCACTTCTATTGCTTCGTTCCTTATGGGATTTTCAATGTTGCGTTTTTTATTGGCGACTGACCCAGTTTCCCGAAATTTAGCTACAAGTTCTAGAACATAGCTTCGATTCACGTGACTGTTCTCATGTCGCTCATTAAATATTTCTGCTGTTCTATTAGCGCACTGATTATTTCCGAAAAATATTTCGATAATTTCAACTCTTTCTGCTGTGGAATATACCATGGTTAATTTATATAATAAAGCATTACAAGTTATTTTAGCAACAAAGTTTGGTCAAATAAATCGCAAACTATGTACTAAATTCCTATTTAAAATAAGTACGAGATATTTCCTTATCTTTCTTCAAGAAATAACTTTTTTACCACAAAAAAACGCTCCTATAGCTATTTTCAACAACAAAATGATAAACAAACCATGGGCGTAGTGAAGAAAAGTATTTACTTATTAAGTAAATTCTTTTAGTCAAATTTCTTCTGAAAGTAGTACAAACTAATCTGATGTACCTATTAAAGTCTACTTTAAGCTTTAAATCAATCAATCTTCAAAACTGCTGAACTGAATTACATTAATTTTATATCATTATAAAGGGAATTGAAGACCTTTAAAATAATAATAAACTTGTGTCCCCCTCGAAAACAAAATCGACGGGTCTGAGCGTTTTTCCAAAAAAAAAAACTGAGCTGCCAGTAAATGCGTCTGTTTCGTTTTCGATGCGCCACCCTGTATGTCCTGGTTTAGCTACAAAAAATTTTTTTTCTATTGGACATCGGGCGAGAAATTTACGACCTAGACAAAAATTCGACCACAGGAAGTATTTGTGCCCTGCTCGAGACATGGATCAAACCTGATACAATATAAACATTGATAACACAGCAATTACTTACCATTTTCTTGAAAATAACAGCGTCACTACTTGAGTGATAATTTTAAAAAAAAAGGATATGTTTTCAACAACCCATCAACATGTCCTACAAAAACCTACTTGTTCTCTTTGTAGGTCCGTATCAGGTCAGAAAAACTAGGTCATTGATTTATATCCTTGCCTAATAAATTCTTTGAAAACCTAAATTAGACTGCTTATTCCTTGACAAACATCAAGTATAGTAAGTACTTTTCACGATCCAATCTCCTTATCTCAATGCAAATTCCAGACAAAGCCTAGCTTAGTTCTCATTTCTGTGCCGCTGCTGCTCCGACTACAATAAGGTTCAGTTTAAATTGAAGTTCATTTCAAAAATTCTCTGGCGTAGTTGGTAAACAGCTAGCT